TTCTTTTGTCTTTCATCTCTCTCAGTTTGAAATTTAAATCTACTTCACAATGTGTTATAAAAGGATAGAAAACCTCTTGTCAGTCCATTTCATTATTCACACCATATTCACACACCTTCTTGTCCCATATAATGGTGTTATTGCCTGTTGTTTTCTATAATGACCTTGTTGCCTGCCAGAATGGCATTCTTGTCCCATTACTGTTGTTTCTGTCCTTTTGCCCACTACAATGACCTTGTTGCCCACTACAATGACCTTGTTGCCCACTATAATGGCCTTGTTGCCCACTATAATGATGCTGTTGCCCACTACAATGGCCTTGTTGCCTACTACAATGGCCTTGTTGCCTACTACAATGGTCTTGTTGCCTACTGTAATGGCCTTGTTGCCTACTGTAATGGCCTTGTTTCCTACTGTAATGGCCTTGTTTCCTACTGTAATTGCCTTGTTTCCCACTATAATGACCTTGTTGTGCACTATAATGGCCTTGTTGCCCGCTATAATGACCTTGTTGCGCACTATAATGACCTTGTTGCGCTCTATAATGACCTTGTTGCCCATTATAATGACCTTGTTGCCCACTATAATGACGCTGTTGCCTACTACAATGGCCTTGTTGCCTACTGTAATGGCCTTGTTGCCCACTATATTGACCTTGTGCCCACTATAATGACCTTGTTGTGCACTATAATGGCCTTGTTGCCCACTACAATGACCTTGTTGCCCGCTATAATGACCTTGTTGCGCACTATAATGACCTTGTTGCGCTCTATAATGACCTTGTTGCCCACTATAATGACCTTGTTGCCCGCTATAATGACCTTGTTGCGCACTATAATGACCTTGTTGCGCTCTATAATGACCTTGTTGCCCACTATAATGACCTTGTTGCCCACTATAATGGCGCTGTTGCCCACTACAATGGCCTTGTTGCCTACTGTAATGGCTTTGTTGCCCACTGTAATGGCCTTGTTGCCCGCTATAATGACCTTGTTGCCCATTATAATACAAAAAGATAAAAACCCAATATGGATTAGAATAATTATGATCACTGCTGTCAGCTGACATGTACAATATGGTATGCAATTTATTGGTTTTGTGCCGCAAACTTCTATTCTCAAACTTAAATAACTATTTTTGATAGAAAATTCTATTTTAAACATTTCAAAAACATCATTCTCCCAATCCATATCATTTTGAAGAGATTTTAATAGCAAAAATCTCCTTGCATTACCTGGTCAATTTTAACTGCCATTTCTGTATCATTAAATGTAGGTGTTTTCATTTGCATTCTGGATGCTTGCAAGCCAGGTGCCTCTTGAGTATGTGTTAGATGTCTCATATTGGTGTTCATGGGGGACGCCTGGACGCACAGAAATGTTGAAGGCTTTGGCATTTTAGTCTGAGTTCACTGATTTTGTCATTGTGCACATCTAGCAGTGAGAAGAAGTAATACTCTCAGAATCTGTTAACAGTATATTCCTTTTCTCTGTCACTTTTGCTTTCAAATATGGTATTACATTAAATCAAATGGCATTATTATTTCTATTATTTCTACTGTATATTATTCATTTGGTAATTTTCTTTTTATGCACATCAGTCATGTTTTGCCTCTCGAGCACATTTCATATTATGTTCATTTTTTTTTATTTTTTAAATTTTCAGCACTAACCACTGATTTGCCAAGCATCTTTAATAGTATATACTCTAAAATGCCAGCTCCAATGATCACCCTTATTCCTAGACAAGGTAAACGCATTGGCCCATTGTTTCCATTCTCATATGTTATTGTTTATGTCCAAAGTATGGGGGGGTCATTGGTCTTTTCGTGGATGACCAATACCGGTAGATCATTTTCAGTGCCTTGCGAGATCTCGCGTGATTCAACAAATAATCATGTCACATGTCATATCCTACATTGTAAAACAGGTACATGTATCAGAGTGATCATCTGTTTAGCAATAGTAAGTTTTAAATGGTAAGCTAAGATTGCAAAATAATATTCACAAAAACGGGTATATGGTATACTTTTCAAAGCAAAAATCTTTCTAGTTATTTGTTTAAAATATATATAAATTAATATTCAAATGAAGTTAATTCTTTATTAAACATCATTTGTTGTATATAGTCATGATATTCATTGAGTTGGAAATTTATTTGAAACATTTCTCACCTTAGGAACTTAAAAACTCAGAAAACATACCATGATTAATATAATAAACTGGCAGTAAATAATCTCACTCGCTACAAGTAATGACAGGAAAGTGTCCTTTGTCACATGATTCCAAACATTATTAACTCGCTCCACGCGAGATCTCGTCGGGAGCTGGAAATCTCCTATCAGAGGAACATTTGGTAGTCTTTGATACTTGAACCAAATGATGTCGGTTTGAATGCAGTGCTGTGTAACATTGGCTGTGTTATCGTCATAGCAACCTGTAGTGTGTACTAACATTAATTGTTATGTATGCTAATATTTTATTAACATTTACAACAGTATTCAGTTTTTGACATCGTGATATTATATGATGTCATGTGTTGTTTTTAGAACAGTCAAGTACAGCACTACTGCAGTGATATAATTTGGGGGGTGGGGTGGGGGGTGGGGCAAATTGTCTGTACATGTAATTTATATAGGTTGGTAATATGGGTAGCCAGACAAGGAAATCTCACTGCAAACATGACAAAGCCATTTATGAAATGAATACCATACCTAAGTTTGAAATTCAATCATATTTCTTGTCAAACTTTGTCTACCTGTTGTTTCAGTTGCTGTATTGCTCTAATACAACATGTAAACCGAAAGTTGCATTTATTAATGAACCATTAATATATGACTTATTTTGAGCATTGACACTAATATCTAATTATATTAGCACCTTTAGCATATTCTGACTTTGAATAGACTTGTTCGACAAATTGTAGTTGTACAACCTAGGTCAAGCAGTTTGCAAAAAAGTATTATCTGGTGTCAACTTATGGTAGAAGCCTACTCATACCCGGTAGATGAAAATACCCAAAATTTATTCTTTTTGTGATAAATTATACAACAGAGCAATATGAGAATATTAACATAAAAAAGTTAGGGGTAACCAGCGATATTTGTTGAGAAAATGATGGTTGTATTTTAGTGGATAGTGACCATTTTGTCGGTATTATTTACAATATTTACGAAAGTATTTACACACCTGTCATATGAAATATATCAAATTTAAGATCAACTAGTGCATTTTACTCAAAATAAAATAGTTGAAATGTGTTTAGTTTGTATGTAGACATTTTTCAGTAACCGATAATCCCATGGTTAACTCCATGGGTGCGCGCTCGTTTGCATATCATTTGCATGTCATTAACATTTTGTGCAAATTGGGAGGCTGGAATTATTTCAAAAAACTACCTGTCAGTTGTAGTTCATGAATGTTCCTATTGAGGTCATAGTATCTGATTCGTAATTTTTATTTACAAACTTTGAATCATGCTGAAAGTTAGAGAATTGTTGTAATTACCAATGGGAACATTGAAGCACTGAACATAGAGGGAGTTTCTAAAAGAGAAATGGCAAGAAGACTGGAAATTTCTGAAGGCTCCATATGTTTCAACCTGCAGAAATTTCGTCTGTGAGGTAGTATGGGCAATTGTTGCCGATCAGATCAACCAAAGCGTACAACGAAACGCGAAGTCCAGCTACTCATCTGGTCTAGTTTAGCTAATCGGTTTCACACCGCCCGCGATTTGCATACAAATTTTAATTTCAAACTCACTGGGAAAAGATTGACTTTGAGCACAATAAAATCAAGACTATATAAGGATGGTAATCTTCAAGGCTATGTTGCCCAAAAGAAAACATAACTACATCCTAGACACATCTTAGCGCAGCGCAGTTGCAATATGCAAGACAACACATCGACTGGACTCCGGCGCAGTGGACCCAAGTTATCTGGTCGGATGAATCAAAGTTTACATTGTTTCGTTGCCATGGAAAATTATTTGTATGTCAGAGATGAGGTGAAGAGTTGGAGTCTATGAAACCTTTGAACAAATTTGATGTTGGAAGCGTCATGGTGTGGGGGTGTTTTTTGGCATTGCATTTACATTCTATTGTATTCTCCATAGAAAATTCAAATGTTCTTTCACTGTTTCATTCAGACTGCCGTTTTTATTCAATTTCAATTTTTTATTGTGTGTAAAAATGCATATTTCATCGTAGGTAGTAACTGCTTGTAGTGTGGTGCGTAAATATTTTCTGGGGGTCTGAATCTGCTAATGACAGAGATATTATGCACATATAATATTATTTAACACACTAAAGAATGCTATTTCATGGCGCCATGAGACAATAGCTCCATGATTTTTTACATAATAAATAAATAAATGTTTATTGTCATGCAGTTTGGCCAACTTTTGCAAAAATTATGAGTAGGCTTCTACCTTAATGCAAAAAGTCTTCACAATGATATTTTTTACACTGCTGAATCAGGATAAATAATTGTGTGCCTACAGATCATTAATACCAGATAAAGACTACACTGAGAATTTTTGTTTTTTGTTATGTCTTCAAAAATCTTTACATTTTATGAAGCTGTGTCTACAAAGAACTATTTAAATTAAAATGTTTTGCTGTTTTTTTTATACAAAAATTCAATGATAGACAATACAGTATTAACCTTTTCACAACCAAACTTTCTAGCCCAAATTTTTCCAATATTTCTGGAAATATATTCTAATTTTGGAGCCAACAGACAAAATTTGAGTCAATTTTCAGTTTTTACTCGAAAATTTAGCTATTTTTGTCCCAATCTTCTGAAGGAAAGTACAGACTATAAATGAACTATGAAAAGAGGGACTTGGTGGTGAAAAGCTTAAGCATAGAACTGATATCAAGGTTTAGAGATTGCTACCTAATTTATGCACATATGCACTACTAATTATTTGCAAGTAAACTGATGTCATCATCTGTTTGTATTACATCTATGTGTGTATTTATGTTTCAGATCTCAGCACACATGGCACTATGACTGTTATCTTTGTCATGTGCTTACTTGTTATACCTGCTTTACTGGTGATTATTATATGTATGCTGTATAGACGTAGTCAGATCAAAGCATGGTGGCATGCTAGGCAATATACGTAAGTCATATTATATTTTATTGCACTCACCAAACTAAACACACAAATATTCTTATATCTGGCATTTTTTTATTGGTTTTGGTCGAGATTCAACCATTGTATATATGGCTGCATACCATTCATATTTATCAAATATATATTAATGATTTTTAGCTCCGCTGTCGGAGTTTATCATATGAGTGACTGTCTGGCATCCATGTCAACTTTTTATTTTTTCACTTCTCGAAAAGTACAAGCCTGTTTGCTTTTAATACTTGGTGTAAATGTACCTTGGGTAGACCTCTCTTAGATTTGTTCATTTCGTGATATTTTTAATTCTCTAATTTTGATAAATATTTTTGTCATTTTTGGTAAAAAGTTATATTTTCGACTTGTTGAAAACGGCAAATCCGATTGCTTTGATATATTACATACCTGAGTTAGACCTCTCTCAGATTTGTTCATTTTTAGCTCCGCTGTCGACTTTGTCGAGTGGAGCTTATCATATGAGTGATTGTCCGTCGTCGTCCGTGTCAATGTTTTACTTTTTCGACTTCTTCTTGAAAACTACAAGCCTGAATGCTTTGATATTTGGTGTATATGTACCTTGGGTAGACTTCTCTCAGATTTGTTCATTTCATGATCATATCTTCAATTCTAATTTTGGTGAATATTTTTGTCATTTTTGGTAAAAAGTGATATTTACGACTTCTTGTTAAAAACTGCAAGTCCAATTGCTTTGATATTACATATATAGGTACTACATGTGGATCTCTCTCAGATTTGTTCCTTTTGTAATGATATCTTCAATTCTCTAATTTTGGTGAATATTTTTGTCATTTTTGGTAAAAAGTGATATTTTCAACTTCTTGTTAAAAACCGCAAGTCCAATTGCTTTGATATTACATATATAGGTACTACATGTGGATCTCTCTCAGATTTGTTCCTTTTGTAATGATATCTTCAATTCTCTAATTTTGGTGAATATTTTTGTCATTTTTGGTAAAAAGTTATATTTTCAACTTCTTGTTAAAAACCACACATCCAATTGCTTTGATACTACATATATATGTACTACATGTAGACCTGTCTCATATTTGTTCATTTTGTAATGATATCTTTAATTCTCTAGTTTTAGTGAATATTTTTGTCATTTTTGGTAAAAAGTGATATTTTCGACTTCTTGTTAAAAACCACAAGTCCAATTGCTTTGATATTACATATATAGATACTACATGTGGACCACTCTCAAATTTGTTCATTTCATGATGATATCTGGAATTTTCTAATTTTGATGAATATTTTTGTCATTTTTGGTAAAAAGTGATATTTTAAACTTCTTGTTAAAATCACAATCATTTATGGTGAAAAATGATATTTTTGAATTCTTGTTGAAAACAGCAAGTCCCATTGCATTGATACTATGCATATTGTTCATTTTCTAATGGTATCTTCTGTTCTTTAATTGAAATGTTAATTGCTAACAGCGGAGCTATCTCAGCCGAGAGGCTGCTTGTCTAATGATATCTTCAATTCTTTAATTGAAATGTGCATTGTTAACAACGGAGCTATCTCAGTGATATTCAAATCTTTTGTGCTTTTTAACAAACTTGTTTGACATCATATTCATCGTCATACTTACCAGAGAAATTGTCCTATTAGTGTTAAAAAAAATTTAAAAGTTGCATTATTACCATACAAGTACATAGCAGTATCAAAACTAATTTTTGAAAACTTTTGATCTGTCGAAAAAGTCATTATATCATTAATAGGGGCCCTATAGTATCTATTTAATACTCATTGATACATCAAAGTACATGCATCAATGTTGTGGCAAATAGAAATCTCAAATTTGCTGCTCAAAACTTTTAAAAAAACTTCGCCAATTTATGTTTTAAGACAGTACCCTGGTACTTTGATGCGCCAATGAAAATTACAGGGATGTTAAATAAATAATACTGTAGAATACTTTATTTTTGCTTGAAATTTATTTTCGCTATTTTCGCTGAAGGTATGATTGCGTGAAAATAAAACCCAGCGAATATACTTTTTTTCCTATATTTCACATTAAACTCATCAGAAATCAGTGAAAATAAATTCCATACAAAACGCCTCAAAAGCCTTTTCAGCGAAAATTAATTCCAGCGAAAATAAAGTATTCCACAGTATAATAAACAAATTTTTTCTGTGGTTTTATGGACTACTTGTTAAACAGCATTTTGATATTACATTTGTACATAGAGTATTATTTATTTCTTTGCAGGGCAACATCCGCTGAATCTTGTACAGAAGTGAAACCTGTTCCACAAATGTTGAAAACTCATAAATTAACAAGTGCATCATTACATCCTGACTCTCAGAAAATACAGGTTCCTAAAACCAAACCTGTGGTGAAAAATCAAAATCGACCTATCCATAGAGTTCCATATACTGGCAGTTTTGACAGAAAATCTTTAGAACGTACTTCATCAGAAAGGAAGCCATCGGACAATTTCATAGAAATTAGTCTGAATGAAGATCAAAATAAGACAGTACCTCCGCGACCTGCGGCACCACCACTAAGACCAGCTGCACCTCCTGTTGTTAACACACACATAGGAAAACAGAAACCATTACCGCCACCCAAACCTAATATCACTCCTGGAGTAGGCCATGGAACCTCACCGTCCGGCTCCCTTGAGAGAAACACTCCTCCAAGACCAACTAGTCTACCTCTTAGAGCAAATGTTCCGGCCAGACGAGCTCCACCAAGGCCAAATTTTAAAAGACACAATCCAAATCAGACGGTATGCTAGCACATTCATTAAAATGAGTCATTACTTAAATATATTATCATTATCTTTCCATTGAAAGACATATTAACATTGTAGCATTTTGTTAGATAATGAGAGTATTACACTTACCATGCAAGGGGAATGTAGTAAAAAATATGCATTTGCACCCTTGGCAAAAAGAACACTGACCATCCAAATATTCACGCCTTCAGTAGAAGTGTATAGATATTTATATGAAGGAGCTGAATGGTCTAGAAAACAATTCTGAACAAACAGACAAAAAATCTAAAGCTTAAAAATATAATATAAATCAAAAATTACATTTGTTATATACTGAATCATTTAATATTACCGGTACCTATTTTTGAGCATCAAAATTGTAATTTTCAATTTGAAGCACAAACATTGTAAATCCAATAATAAATGGTATATAACAATATTTATTATGCCTTTCTGAGATAGTAAATGGTAAGCATAGCAACTTATTTTCACCCATGATCATGAAAAAATTGTGAAGAATATGTTGAGGAGAGACTAGTGCAAGGCTTCATACAAGTTGATAATTGCAAATTTGTAGAAAACCTTGTTTTCTCTTATATTCTCCCTCCTGTGACGACAATGTATATACTAAATGATTTGAATAGAGCTAACAACATATACATGTTAAGTTGTAAAACAATTGATATTGACAATACTTAACTACCGGTAAGTTAATGCTATACAACCTATGTTTTTAGTGACACTGGTATTCAAGTGATTATATACAGTGTATACAGTGATTTCTAAATGCTGGTTATACTCATTTTCACTAAACTACATGTACTTGAGTAGAATCATCACATGTCATAAGAAGTGAGCAATGATTGATGAGATGCTCAATAAGTGACCCTAAGGTCTCACTTCCTGGTAATTTCTTGGAGTACAAACTCACAAATGAATGCAAATGAAAATTTCTCTCACAGTTCCTCCCAAAATGCAAGCATTTGTCATTGAAGTTCTGAAATAGTGAAATAATCAAGATAAAATATACATTATTATACATCTGTCATCGTAACGTCATAAGTTACAGCATGCCGTATTGCACTGGGTATTTTCATCCTACCATATTAGAAAACGTGAATTCCAAATATGGAATGATTAAGCGCGTAAACGCCCTCTAATAATAAAAAACAAACATGCCTCCCCCCAGGGTTTGACTGGACCCCCACACAAAGAAGTTCGCTAAATCTGTTTGAAATGTTTTGGATTTCGGCATTTCCATGATGTATTCCTTGGAAGAAAAGATGTATAATAATAAGGTTATTACAAGGATACAGCAAAGTAGGCACTCAGACAGTACGCAGTCGCATCGAGCTCCACTGCATGTCGGTCGATACTCCCGCTGTACTTTTTTCTTGCATAATTTGCAGTATCCTTGTATTATTAAGCCATCAATACCCCCAGAAATTACCAGAATGTGTGACTTTTAGGGGTCATACATTAGGTCTGTCATGCATTTTTAGTCAGTCATTGTTTATTTTTTGTCATGTGATGACCCAACACTGGTTAGTCAATGGTCAATGCTTACATTAGGTCAAGAGAGATGAAAAATCCATAAAAATATTTGTATTTATACTTTTTGGAAAATGATCAGTACCCCCAATCTCCAAATGTTTGTTTTATTTTAAAAATTTTATATTTCATATTATATTAAAAAAAAGTACTTGTATTTTTCTGTGGTACTACTACTTCTTTCAGGTTTTTTATTTTGTATATCCTTTTAAAGCCTGTCGATGTTTTTTTCCAAAGTAGGAAATGAAACCATAATTAGTAGTTTCAACATACCAGGCATAGCAGTACACTTGTATGCATCTAATAGTGTTTTCTTGAAACTGAGTTTGTCCCACACAACTACTGCTCATTGATAGCAATGTCATTGAGTGTTGAGTAATTTATTACATTAAATGAAAACATACGATTTAACGTAAATGTTCAAATTCAATGTTAAATTATTTGACACTTGGTAAAATTGGCTGAATCTGTCAATGTGAAATGATTTGACACATGTTTGGATGGCTGACTGAAGTCAATGTTGAATTTGACACCTGTAACGTTGGCCAACTCTGTCAGTGTTAAATTATTTGACACTTGTAAGGATGGTTGACTCAATCAATGTTCAATGATTTGACATTCGTGATGTCAAGTGATGACTGACTCAGTCAGTCACTGAATGTAATGTCATTTTAATTTCAGAAAAAAAAAACTTTTTTTAAAAATGGCTTTTCTATATAAAAAAAATAAATGTGTGACATGTAAAGTGAATATTTTTCATTGCTAAACTAGAAAAATTAAAAATACTATGTGTTGTCATTCTTAAATTCAACTGTTATGCAAAATAATATTGTACATATTTTGTACATGTCAGGGTTTTGTACAAATATCAATTATACACTAGCTATGTTTTGTCACAAGTTCAATGTCATATGGAGAAGCAACCTCTCATGGAAAGTTAAAAGATGATTTCCTACTTAAAGGGATTGTCATGTATGTTGTGTTGAAGGTACACTGCTAATGTCAGATATGTCATGTGAAGGAATATATCAGATGTATTTGTGTGCAGGGACGGGGTGAGATATATATATATATGGTTTTCGAGTAATTATTTGTGTGTCATCAAGTCTGAATGTGTGATGTGTGGATACAAATGTATGTCTGGTGGTAGCGTCAGTAATGTGTATGGGAGAGGGGAAGGGAAGGGAGGGGAGTGAGGTATGTACCAGTGTTACATGTTACAAGGTTTTACTTCTATATTTGTCACCTACTTACATTGTTATTATATACTAATTTAAAAAGTTATTACAATACTTTAATTTTTGTGCCATTTATTGAATACTGGAAGTAAATGTGTTCACAGGCTGTCATGCTGGCATGGCTTTTAGAATATTTTATAACACATTCATTTTTTTTCGCAAGTAAAGAAAAAAAATACATTTTATATTTATTCCATAAATGCTATATGTACATTTCATTTTTCTTATAATTATATAATTATTCACTGCATTGCCAATATTGGGAGGATTTTGAAATCAGTTTTTATTTTAGAAGTAATTTTGCAATTGAAGGCAATCTTTTTAGCACAAGTCTGATTTCTACACTCCATTAAAACATTCAACTTCTGATGAATTTGTATGTTTTGAAAATAAAGTTTACAGATTAAAAATTCTTTAAGTAATTTAATCCAAACTTTTGCGTGCTTAGTTGCAATATATTTTGCAGTGTTTAGTTTGGTAATGAAAGCCAATTTGACAGAATCATGAATGAGACATTGGTGGCACATGTACCAGCCATCATTAGAGGCTGTATTCATATAAACCACTGACAGTATTAAATTACTCACTCCACTCACTGTACTAATAATGTGTAAAATTTGTATTTCAATTAAACTAACTTGTTATTTGATAATGTCTATGCATTGTATAATGAGATATGCTCTGCTTATATCATATCGATGTATGTACATGCTATTTTCAATAAATAATGGTTATTATAACTGAATTATTGTTTGTTTTATCTCAACAATTCTAGGCAATGCCATTTGAACAACACATTGTGCTGAAACAACTTGCCTAACTGCTTGTCTTAGAAATGGGTTCATTTTTGCCACATCCATAATGTTAATGAAGTGTTGGTTATAAGCGAGAACTTTGTCTGTTGGTATTGTCATTAATTGTTCATGTGTGTGCAATATTTTAATCCATCGGTATTAAATTGATTTTCATATGTCTGACACTATGGAGTATTGAGAAAGGTGTCTAATCTGTTGGGCAGTTGTGATTATGCTTCATGTGCACTGATCACAGTGTGGACATGCGTTACTGTACAAGTTCAAAATTATCACATTTATCCTGAAAATGCTATATTTTGATGTCAACAGATGAAGTGTCCTGAAAATATTACAATAGGATTTATGAAAACGGACATTTTTGTCATGATTTGAGGATTTTAAGTTTTCATAGGTTCTAAATTTTGTGAAAGCCACTGTTGTAGGACCCAAGAGAAAGTTGAATGTTGTAAAAGTTGGCTGCTAAGCCGTAAAAGTGGGTTGGAAATCTAAAAAGTATGTTGGAAGTTTCAATTTGTGTAACTCAAAACTATTAATTATAAAGTCGTAAATGTTCACAAGTTCAGTCTAAAGTCATAAGTGTTGGATGGAAAGCTATAGAAATTGGCAGCAGTTGTTTAAAAAGTAGGGTGAAAAGCCATAAAAGTTATTTCAAATGCAGAATATTTTAGGGTGGAATGTCAAAAAAAAGGTGGTTGGAAAGTAAAAACAAGTAGCCTCTCGGCTGAGATAGCTCCGCTGTTAGCAATGCACATTCCAATTAAAGAACTGAAGACACCATTAGAAAATGAACAATATGTATAGTATCAAAGCAATCGAACTTGCAGTTTTTAACAAGAAGTCGAAAATATCACTTTCTACCAAAAATTACAAAAATATTCACCAAAATTAGAGAATTGAAGATATCATCACAAAATGAACAAATCTGAGAGAGGTCCACATGTAGTACCTATATATGTAATATCAAAGCAATTGAACTATTGGTTTTTAACAAGAAGTCGAAAATATAACTTTTTACCAAAAATTACAAAAACATTCACCAAAATTAGAAAATTGAAGATATCACGAAATGAACAAATCTGAGAGAGGTCCACATTTAGTACCTATATATGTAGTATGAAAGCAATTGGACTTGCGGTTTTTAACAAGTTGAAAATATCACTTTTTACCAAAAATATTCACCAAAATTAGAGAATTGAAGATATCAACATGAAATGAACAAACCTAAGAGAGGTCTACCCAAGGTACATATACACCAAGTATCAAAGCATTCAGGCTTGTAGTTTTCAAGAAGAAGTCAAAAAAGTAAAACATTGACACGGACAATCACTCATATGATAAGCTCCACTCGACAAAGTCGACAGCGGAGCTAAAAAAATGGGTAGAATCTATAAAACATGTAAAATTTAAAAGCCAGTAGGAAAATTGAAAAATATGGGTGGAAAGTTGTAAAAGTTGGTAAAATAGTTGGCTGGAAAATAGTAATGTTAAGCAAAAATTATAATTTAGAAAGTTGAAAAATATGAGTGGATTTTCGTAAAAGTTAGTTGGAAAATAGAGAAAGTTGATTGAAATGCAGCAAAAGTTATTGGAAAGAATCATTAAAGTTGGATGAAAAAAAAGTCCCTGAAGGTGCTTGAGAAGTAAAAAAAATGTTCAATTGAAAGTTGTCTGGAAAGTCAAAAAAATGTCTGGATAGTAATGTGTGGCAGTCTTTGTTCAACATTTGCCAACTATCAGATTGTATTGTATTACAGCTTTTCTTTTTCACAATTATGACAAGGGTGACGAAGATAATGTGAATAAGTACAGGGGTATTACTGTCTTGTGTCAATCACTGAAAACTATTTTATTTTAGCTGGAATTACTTGTCGCTGAAAAGTATTTTATGGATTTTATTTTCACTGATTTTTGACGAGTTGAATGTAAAATATGGGAAAAAAAGGTATATTCGCTGGATTTTATTTTCACGGAATCACTGTCAATTTCAGCGAAAATTATTTCCAACTAGGAATAAAGTATTTTACAAATTATGTTGTGATATTATATATAACAGACCAACAAAGTGGCTGAAAAAGATGGATGGAAAGTCATGAAAGTTTGAGACTACAATTTGATTAAAAATTTGAAAAAATTTGGATGGAAAGTCAAAAAAAAGTCCTAAAAGGCTGGAAAGTAGTAAAAGTTGATTTGATAGTTGTAAAAGTCATATAAATTAGCTAAAAATTCATAAACCTTGGTTGGAACGACAACAAAATTGGTTGGAAAGTAGTTTTGAATGTAGTATATCATAGTTGGTTTGAAATTTGAAAACAGTGATTAGAAAGTTGCTGGAAGTGCTTGGGAACCAAAATCATAAAAGATGGTTCGAAATTCAAAAATTCTAGGTGGAAAGTAGAGAAAGTTGGATGGAAAGTTGATAAAGTTTGGTGGATAGTCGTAAAAGCTAGTTGGAAAGTCAAATAGTTTAGATGGAAAATCGTTGGTTGGAAATTACTGGTAGTAAAAATTAGGCAAATGTCAGAATTTGGTTGATAAGTCAAAACATTGAGTGGAAAGTAGAAAAATTAGGGTGGAAAGTCATAAATATTCGCTGGAAAGTAGTAAACGTCAAGCAAAAAATCATAATTTGAAGAGAAATTCATAAATTTGATAGAAAAATTATAAAGTTGTCTGGAAATTCAACAATTTTTGTTGTAAAGCCATAAATGTTAGCTGAAAAATCATAAAAGCTGGTTAGAAAAGTTGGGTGGAAAGATTGGACAAAAAGTCAAAAAATTAATCAAAGAGTCATAATCTGGTTGGCAAGATGTAAATGTTGGCTGGAAAGTTGAAAAATATGCTTGTAAAGCCATAAAAATTACAAGTTTGCCAGAAAATCACGAGAGTTTCTTGGAAAGTTGTTAAGTTGGTTGGAAAGACGAAAAACTTAGATGGAAAGTTGTAAAGGTTGGCTTGAAAGTAGTAAAAATTATACATAAAATTTGGCTGGAAAGTCAAACGTAGCAGCCTACCAGCTGATATAGCACTGTTCTTTCAAATTCATAAAGAGAAATAAATATCAAATCAATCTGTCTACTAGATGCAATCTGGCAAGTTGTTTTCAATAAGAAACTTGAATTTTGTATCAAAATCATTTTTTTTCTTAAAATGACAAATATTTATCAAAATAAAACAAGCAGTCTCTCGGCTGTGATAGTTCTGCTGTTAGCAATGCATCACAAAATGAAGAATTCTTGAGAGGTCCACCTGTAGTACCTATATGTATAATATCAAATCAATCAGACTTGCGCTTTTCAACAAGAAGTCAAAAATATCACATTTCACCAAAATTATAGACAATTTGAAAAAGGCTCATCTGAAGTACCTGTATATTCAATATCAAAGCAATTAAACTTAGTATTTTGTCATTTCACTTCCACATTGCATTAAAAAAATGTTATCGTCAATATTCCGATTGGTAGCATTCTGATTGACAACAAGATTTGAATATCTTGCTTTCGACTGTTTCTCCACAAACCCCAATAACTTTTACACAAATTCAGATATGTAATATGCATATAATATTGAAATAAAATATGCGTAAACCAGTTTTATTTCCCTAAACAAGATCTTTTTTACTCCTAATCTGGCGTGGTAACGAAAATTGTCATTTGGATAATTTGTTTCGGGTATGGACATTGTTAAATGTTAAATAAAACAAATCTTCATCTTTTCTGAGGTGGTCCTCGGGTTCACTCTAACCCCTCATTTTCCTAAGATGTATGTCAGCAAAATTTAGTTTGTATGCAAGTAATCTGGATAGTAGAATAACACAACAGTTACTATAATTGCAAGATATCTGCTTCAAACATTTCTTTTCAATACCCGAGCATAACAGTTCCAAACAATGGTTGTGACCAACATGAAGATTTCAGCATATTAGGGCGTCATAGTCACCAAATCAGATGTGGGAGTTTCTGTTAAACAATGACAAACTAAATTTCCAATAAAAGCATTTTTCACAAGGAAGTGTTCTGAACAGCACTGGGTCATTACATTTGAAATATACAAGATGGCTTCTATTTGTGTAATTACTGTATCTAAGACAATTTTAAACCTCAAACACATTCATTATGTATATAACATCTCTGAAGCAGAATTCGTAACAGCAATACACGACAGGATCTATTGTAGTGAAGACAAAAAATTATTTATTTTATGCAGCTTGAAGACAGGAAATCACAGCAACACAAAATTTTGACATCTCAAACTATGTAATAGCGAACATTTTTAGCAGTGAAAAGTCAACTGTACAGAATCTTCATAATGTGAAGAATGCAACATCGTCTGAATAACGCAGTTAGGGGAGCTCAATGTAAGCATACTCCCTCACCAATTTGTGTACTACAAAGTGTAGTGATGAGGCGATGGCTAAAACCAGTCAGCTGACGCACACGTGGTAATGAAATAAATACGATATTTACTATATGGGGCCGCCATCTTGAATGCAGCATAAAACTAAATAAGAGACAAGTTGTGAAACACGTTTTTCAGATTCCTACAAATCACGACAAAAATACCAATCTTTCACAAAAATATGATTCGTTGGGGTTATAAGCCAACCGATAACAAAATTCAGCCAAATTCAGCGTTTTTGTGTGGAAAAATCCCTTGTATATGAACACCAAATTATACCAGGAACTTAGAACACTTGTCATTCCAGCTCAGCAGCCAATTAGCGACAGGCTCACAGTTAGATGACAATTTCGGTTTCAAATACCCCCAGGAAAGTGTTCTATGTTTTTAGTGAAATTAGGTGTTCGTATTTGAGGGATTTTTCCACACAAAAATGCCAAATTTGTTCGAATTTTGTTATCGGCTGGCCTAATATTACCCCAGTGAACCGTATTTCTGTGAAAGATTGGAAGTTTTGTCCAAATTTGTAGGAATCTGAAAAACGTGTTTCACAACTTGTCTTTTATCTAGTTTTATGCTGCATTCAAGATGATGGTAAATATCGAATTTATTTTAATATCACGTGTGCGCCAGCTGATTGTGGCTAAAACAAACCATGGCTGGTGAATATGCAGATGCAAATATATTTGTCATCAGCTGTAAATATAGTACTGGTAATCTCAAAGTACAAATATATTGACTGATCAACTATTGGTTTATGGCATGTATGCAGTGTTAGTGAAAAGACAGGAACACTGCAAGGACACACAAATTGAGATTTCCAATTCAGGTTAACTGTGCGGCAAGTATCTATTGAAAATGGCCGCCACGATACACAAGGGATAACAAGTCACTGATTTTACCAACGGGAAATGGAAATAGAAATACCCAAAGTAGCTGTAACTTGAAAATTATTCTTGCAATAAATTATTGATGTATTTTTAATTAAAACTGTATTGCCATTAGCGAAAAGTCACTAAAATCATCCAGCAATTTAGAATATGAAATTGCTACAGAAAGAGATAAACTTGATACACATTGTCAGAAATGGATAGACATAATTGAAGTAAGTAATTAATGAATAGTTGTACTTAAATAAGTAATGTACATTTCATTTCATGTTGTTGTCAATAAAAAAAAAATCATCCACGGGTGATATATAATCATATGGCAATAAATAATTTTCCTTTCAGTAAAATTTTTTCACTTGCAAGAATATCTCAGATTTGTGATAAGGTTCACCACATTTAATTATCAATTTCTTCAAATTTTCACATCAGAACGCACTACAGGGAAATGCCAACACAGTAGTCGTTAATGTTTTGAAAGACAAAATTATTCCTGCTTATATTTTAGTGCATCATTTAGCACATTTTTATGTATTTTTCAACACCATTTTTTTTGTTAATTATGCACCAAATAAACAGACTTGTTCATTTGCTACAGTTACATTATCAAATTTTTTTTAAAAAATGTGGAACCATTTTTTTCAGATATGCATATTTATTTTCTGAAACATAACAAAAGTTGATTTTGTTTAAAGTGTTAATATATTTCTGCTATATCTGACTTACAATCTAATTCCACGACTTTATCTATTAAAGTCCATATCACATCTTGGAATAAGTTTTTTACTTAAAAAATAAGAAACTCTTGCAGGGTCTTTATTCTGCAACTACAGACATCACATGATATTTGGTTATACAGACATAGATCTGTAACATTTCAGAAACACTGATAACTGTATATCTAGTTGGATTTGAACTGCTCTGCATGTTGTAGTAAACTCTCTTTTGTACATGTGTAATCACTGTTTTTCCAGACTTCTCGTAGTCTATCCATGTAACGTCCAAATTTCTTGTTTGGTTGTATTCCCATATTTATCAGGTCTTTTCCCGAAACTGGAAATTTTGGAATTTCCCATTTTTGAAAATCTTGATATAACTGAATGTTTCCTTTGTATTTTAAAAGTTCTAATACTTTGGGGAATATCTGTTTGTCTTTGGTTTGTCCCTGAAAAACAACAGAAAAGGCTTTGGTTAGACCCGTGAAAAAAACAACAGAAAAGTGAGTTACATCCAAGACATGAGCAAAAAATAGAAAAGTCTGTTTGAACCAGTTCGCTTTTTTCATTACAAATTCACAAAACAAAATAGTCCAATTTATAGTCTGCACTTTCTTTCAGAAGATTGGAACAAAAATAGCCAAACTGTTTGAGTAAAAACTGAAAATTGACTCAAATTCTGACTGTTGTCTCCAAAATTACAGTGCATTTCTAGAAATATTGAGAAAATGTAAGAAAGAAATGCAGACAAATTTGGGCAAGAAAGTCTGATGATGAAAAGGTTAAATAGAAGATCATGTTCAAATTATTGTTAAATATTGGTAGTTGTAGCACTAATTTAAAGTTTCTACGTCAGTCATGTGATATTTTGTACACATATAATTAAATAAACAATTATATAATTATTAATTATTAGAAGTACATATCTAATAGAAGTACATATCTAATAGAAGTACATATCTAATAGAAGTACATATCTAATAGAAGTACATATCTAATAGAAGTACATATCTAATAGAAGTACATATCTATTAGAAGTACATATCTAATTAGAAGTACATATCTAATAGAAGTACATATCTAATAGAAGTACATATCTAATAGAAGTGTACATATCTAATAGAAGTGTACATATCTAATAGAAGTACATATCTATTAGAAGTACATATCTAATAGAAGTACATATCTAATAGAAGTACATATCTAATAGAAGTACATATCTATTAGAAGTACATATCTAATAGAAGTACATATCTAATAGAAGTACATATCTAATAGAAGTACATATCTAATAGAAGTACTTGGCAACTTGGCAGGTAAAATCAATATTGTAGTACTTAGTGGACATTAGAGTGAAGTCAAAAAACAAATGATTTGTATATGGTCAGTATAAGCATAATTAAAATGTATTTTAAAAGTTAAAGAAAAAAGTCAAAACAATAAAAAAATATCTCAGCAACAAAAACAAATATTTTTTCTTAGCCTAATTAGTATGCATGACCATGTGCATCCTGGGGATGAGGATAGTATACAGGGATTTTTTTGAACAAGGGAACAGGGGCGCAGCGCCCTCATGCCATGCGCCCCCTCACCCTGGGGAGCAGATCCGCTGACAACCATAAAATTCTGATTGACCAGGGATCACATGGGGCCAGTCTTCAACTGTGACCTGCCTGACAGTAGTTTTGGCCCCAAGGAAGCCATAGAATGCTCAATTTTAACTTAGAATTATCAAAAACTCCATACCCTGGAATGGGAGAACCCTATCTCCCCCACTTGGTGGCACCGCAGTTTTTTTTTCTAGAAAACCCCTGGAATAGTTGTTGCCAATCGATTCGAAGTATCCAGAATTTTGGTGCAGAGTATCCAGTATCCAGAATTTTCAGATTTCCAGAATGTGTATACTGCCGTAAATGATATTTAGTCAAAAATGTGAAATATATTGTAAGTGGCTCACCTGACACCCACAGGGAAATGAAAGATGTTGTCAGCTTCAACCTCAAATTTGCAAATCATGGACTTTAAGTAGTTATGATATTTTACTTACCATAACTACCATATCCTTGAAGGGTTTCAACTCATCAGTATCCATTACATCTTGACGACTACTAACGAGGAACAATCCCAACTTCCTTTCCTGAACAGAAAGTTTGACTCTTTTATCTAGTATTATAACATCTTCTTCTTTATTAAATAAAGCACACAGGACTGTCATTGATTTAGGATTCATGGAAAGTGATCTGTTCCATACAAATTTAAATTCATCAACATTACCATCCACAGGAAGACCTGAAATACAACAACTTGGAATGTTTCATTCAAGTACCTAGGGTGACTCATTTATTTAAAACACGTATTTAGGGTGACTTATTTATTCGAAAAAGGTATATAGGATGACTTATTTATTTAAATGAGGTATCTAGAGCAACTTGTTTATTTAAATTAGGTATCTAGGGTGACTTGTTTATTTAAATTAGGTATCTAGGGTGACTTATTTATTTAAAACAGGTATCTAGAGGGTCTTGTTTATTTAAATTAGGTATCTAGGGGGTCTTGTTTATTTAAATCAGTTATCTATAGCAACTTATTTATTTAAAACAGGTATCTAGGGTAACTCGTTTATTTAGAACAGATATTTAGGGTGACTTATTTATTTAAATCAGGTATCTAGAGGGACTTGTTTATTTAAATTAGGTATCCAGAGGGTCTTGTTTATTTAAATTAGGTATCTAGGGGGTCTTGTTTATTTAAGTCAGTTATCCATAGCAACTTGTTTATTTAAATCAGGTATCTAGAACAAGTTCTTTATTTAAATGAGTTATATAGGCTGACTTGTTTATTTAAATGAGGTATATAGGGTGACTTGTTTATTATCAGGTATGTAGAGCAAATTGTTTATTTAAATCAGGTATGTAGAGCAACTTGTTTATTTAAATCAGGTATCTAGAGCAACTTGTTTATTTAAATGAGGTATCTAGAGCAACTTGTTTATTTAAATTAGGTATCTAGAGCAACTTGTTTATTTAAATCAGGTATCTAGAGCAACTTGTTTATTTAAATCAGGTATCTAGAGCAACTTGTTTATTTAAATCAGGTATCTAGAGCAACTTGTTTATTTAAATCAGGCATCTAGAGCAACTTCTTTATTTAAATGAGGTATCTAGAGCAACTTGTTTATTTAAATTAGGTATCTAGAGCAACTTGTTTATTCAAATGAGGTATCTAGAGCAACTTGTTTATTTAAATCAGGTATCTAGAGCAACTTGTTTATTTAAATCAGGTATCTAGAGCAACTTCTTTATTTAAATCAGGTATCTAGAGCAACTTGTTTATTTAAATCAGGTATCTAGAGCAACTTGTTTATTTAAATCAGGTATCTAGAGCAACTTGTTTATTTAAATCAGGCATCTAGAGCAACTTCTTTATTTAAATGAGGTATCTAGAGCAACTTGTTTATTTAAATTAGGTATCTAGAGCAACTTGTTTATTCAAATGAGGTATCTAGAGCAACTTGTTTATTTAAATCAGGTATTTAGAGCAACTTGTTTATTTAAATCAGGTATCTAGAGCAACTTGTTTATTTAAATCAGGTATCTAGAGCAACTTGTTTATTTAAATGAGGTATCTAGAGCAAATTGTTTATTTAAATCAGTTATCCAGAGCAACTTGTATATTTAAATGAGGTATCTAAAGCAACTTGTTTATTTAAATGAGGTATAAAGGGTGACTTGTTTATTTATTATTAGGTATGTAGAGCAAATTGTTTATTTAAATCAGGTATATAGGATGACTTGTTTATTTAAATGTGGTATATAGGGTGACTTGTTTTTTTGAATAGGTATCTAGGGTGACTTGTTTATTTAAATCAGGTATATAGGGTGACGCGTTCATTTAAGGTAGCGAGACTATTATATGTGTTGAAAATTACGATTTTCACATTTATTTATTAATTGATGAAATGCACTATAAACTTTCATGTGATAAAGTCAACATAACATAGAATGTCATGTAAGTTGGTTAAAATGTAGATTTTCTGAAGGGAAGCAAGGCAGCCTCAGTAGTGTTTCCAAA